CTGCAGGAAACAATAAGGCCCCCAATGCTGCGATGCCAACAGGTCGTGTCAGTGTCTCAGATGGTCAAGATGTAGATCAATTTTGTCCGCTTGAAAGACTTCTGGGGACACTTCTTGGCATTGCTGGTAGTAGCTAGGGCATTACACTTTTGGTTGATGCCTTGTGCGTGGTCAGGTCATCCCACCTCAGTCATCGCCTCTCGCACGCGAAGCCAAGGAGGTCAAGACTGGTAAGCTGAATCAAGCTGAGCCAGCTGATCGTTTGAAGGTTTTGAATGTAAGTTTTGACGAAGTGTTCTTTCCAAAGCCGTCCGAACCCCGAAGGCTTTGCAGAAGCTGGAGAAGGCCTAAAGTTGAGAACGTTCTATGTGTCAAAGTGTATTTTTTCATGTGAATGTGCCCAGGAGAAGGAGCTTCAGAAGAAAGGTCTGAACTCATCACTCCAAAATAAGCTTCTTGGCCCAGGATAGTTCCGGATCAAATTAGAGAGAACTAGCAAAGTCCAATTTCTTTACTCCAAGGACTGATGAGCAATCAGAGGAGGTGCTGTTTGAACATGTTTTTTGAGAAAAGCACCGAATAACTTGCTTGGCCGAATGGCCTTTTTGCTGATTTCTTCTCCAGGCATGGTCTAGTCCCGGTATGCCAAAGCCTGCTGCCACAAGGCCAAAAGCGTCAGTGTCAGAACCCCGGAGTGCTGATTCTGACATTCAATTCATCCCGGGAAGTTGTAGGGTTTTGATTTTGACTTTCAGGGTGCTTTGAAGCTACTAGGAGCAAAGGGCATCGCTACTAGGAGCAAGGACGCTACTAGGGGCTCCTGGCCTTACTACTAGGAGCAAGGACGCTACTAGGAGTGCTTTGAAGCTGCACTCAGGAAGACTCCAGTGGTCGTGCCCCCACGTTTGGGGACTCCCATCCAGGCTTTATCCTTTCAAGATGGGGCCACTTGACGGAATTGCATACAGGTAAGACACAGGTCTGGTGTAAAGAAACAATCACAAAAAAGAAAGACTGTTCCACCTAAAACTCGTTTGCTCAACATGTGGCGCCAGAGGCAGTTACACCAGTCACACCGCCTTGGCATGAACGGCCGGTGGGGCACTTTGAAAAGGATGAAACAAACAACATGTGTTTGACATTAAATTGACATGGCAATGGCAGATCCTGAGTAGCGCCAATTAGTTCCCATCACTACTTTACTGCCCTTTTTCGGCAAGACGTGCGCTGCTGGCATTCTCCGCAGCTCTGGCTCCGACCCGCTTTATTTCCAAAAGCCATGGCAGTGTGGCAGGCATCCTTGTTAGGTTTTGATCAAAAACTTTGTAGGCATCAGATGAAAGCGGATGCTGTTCCTAAGAGATTTGACCTTGACGAATACAGAGAATTCCAGTAAAATGTGTGGCACATCTATTTGATTGCAGGCGCAGAACAAAAAGGGATTCAAAGGTGTCTTTAACGCCAAGTTTCTCAGCTGCGACTTGCAAGTCATATGTTGTCAGGAAAGTGAATGACACTTCACAGTGAAAAACACAGTTTTAATGCCCAAAAGTCAAAGCTGGCCTGTGAGCAAGCTTCAGCTCTTGAAACTTAGGACACCATGGCAGCCAGCCGGGAAGGACACCATGGCCACTCCTCCAAGTCCTGCATTCAAATCTCTTAGACCTTCGTCAGGACCAAAGCGCCACCACTTTTGCCGCTTCAGAGGCAAGGGAAGTGGTGGCCGGCCAGTAAATGGTGCCATCGGCACAGATTCACATTTGTGAGGCCAAAGGCGGTGCTGGTGGCAAGGCACAGAGGGAATTTGCTTTCTTTTTTTGCAAGGGCCTCCTTCCAACCTAATAGCAATGGCCTGCAACCTAATAGCATTGCCCTCCAACCTAATTCGATTAGATTTCGCTTCCACAGTGGGATTCCTTGGATTTGAAGTCATTTGTACAGGGCAAAGGCGGCATGGGCATGATGGCCGCCATGGGTAGCAAGGGCAAGGGCAAGGGTGGCCCGAAAGGTGCAATGCTCCTTGGAAAGCACAGTCGATTCTTGAACTCTGCAACTCACACAGGAATGCTCCAAGATGTGATATGATATACAAAACATAATTGTATTCTATGGTTATATTATGTCATATTCACATGTATCGTTTGACTGCATGCTTTTACTGTACCATTTCTCATGGATAAACCCCAAAGACACAACCATGCATTCGAGGATGCTTCACAGGTGTACTCTCCTTACTCTCCTTTTTTGGCACTGGATGCTGCTTACATATGGGCCACTATGTTGTTTAAAAGGATCGGAGTCAATCGGCAGACTAACATAGAACCTGGACACACTGGTCTTGTAAAGAAAAGTTGTCTTTCAGAAGTTGTCTTCCAAGGGTCTGTTTTCAGGTTCTATGGTTTGTCTGCCAGGGGTGTAAATCTGTTGGGAGCGCCTTAAGTCACAGTTGTACTTCTGCACAGTTCGACCTGGATGGATACAATTTGTTGCGCTGGAAAGTAGTTTGACACTTCCAATAAAACACGGATGTTGTCATCCATCATTCACAACCAAAACCAAGCAGTTCTGTTCGATCAGAAGATGGGAGAAAATAACAAACCAGGAACATTGAGAAGCAAGCTAAGCAAGGGAACCTTTCCCTTCGGTTGCAATGACCAAGTCTTTCGACCATGTCATACGAAACAGCTTCCGTGTTTAGGACAGGTCAAACAGCAACCGTTGTCAGACATAGGACATGGCATGCCATGTGTATAAGCTGTCCTTTCCATGTACCGAGATCTACCGGCATTCATAAAAACCTTGCAGAATCTCTACCCAGAGGTTACATTCAGCAAAACCGTTTAGTCAGGGCAATGACTCCTTCTCAAGGTTGACATTGTTTGGTGTGCTTGTCATTCTTTTTTCCGAAAACAACAAACATCGGGAAACGATGTCAAGTGTTTGCGTGTTGTTCAGTAGAGACTGCTGCAAAGGTGCTCCGGGTGATTCACTTTCGATTCGAACATTGTTGCCGGCTCCGAGGATGATGATGGCAGCCCTGATGAAAGGCTCCAATTGCCTGGTGAATATTGAGGGCGGCTTCATGACCATGGTAAAAAGGGAGAAGACGTGAGTCAAGAAACCAGAACGTCCAACTCAGGAAACCTTTTCGTCAGAGTCAGGAAATCTAGAAACCAGTTGGCAAGAATAACAAGAAGGAGAAGGAGGCTGTCTGAAAAGCAGCATCTGTACATCAACGATGCAAAGGATTAGAGAAGGAGGAGCAGGAGATTAGTTTTTGTGGCAGGCGAAAGGACATTCTCGTGCTTGGTTTAGGGCTTCACTTCTGTAGGGTTTCTACATTTGGGCTCTTAGGGCTTCATTTCCAGCGGTCGGACAGTCAGCAGTTAAACTTATGTGAGATCTAGGACAAAAGCGGCCCAGTGGAACGCCAAGCTGGGCCAAGCGTAACAAAATGCCTTCTCATTCCGAAAAAGGGTACTTTTTTTGTTCTTTTTTTTTTCAAGTTTGTGTAGTGAATCAGTACCTCCCTCCATCTCCCTCCTCTGGCTCAGACGTTCAAGCTTTCAAAGCTTCCACACGCCGTCCTCAAGGTTTCCTAACTCACTCCCCTTGTCCCATAGTTTCAAACTTTCCAACTACTAGCTCCCTCCAGCCTCCGAGGTTTCTCGCTCAGGTTTCCTGACTCGTAGCCAGGGAATTTCCTCCCAAATCAGTCGCCCTCCAACGCCTTGGATCACAGGATTCTTGACTCTGCTATTCCAGTTGCCTGACTTGGTTTCCTGACTCGGACATGGTTCCTGACTCTGCTTAAGTGCTTTCCTGACACAGCTTCCTAGTTACTAGTTTCCTGGCTTTGTCATCGTCCAATGTTTTTGGAGCCAACCCTCATCTCAGTTTGGATCCGAAGGAGGCATCTGACGACCAATTCTATGCTTGAATGAACAGGGAGGGTGGACGCATAGAAGACATGGGAACACCGATTTTTCTAAAGAAGACCTGCATTCCGTACTCGGTGAACAATCCTGAATCGCTGGCGCTTGCAGAATCGGAGCGTGACAATTGGCTTAAATTGGCAGTTTGCTGTTTGAATAGAGGTTTCCTCAATTCAACTTTGCTGCGCTTCTAAATGGGTTTATTTTTGACGCTCAGTACCGAACTCCCAAGAGAGACATTCCAGCTTCGTGAAGAACTGGGGAACGGTTTGTTTTGTACCTCCTCCTCGGTCCCTTCGTGAAGACAGGCATCCAGTGTTACTGTACGAGTGGTGATCCGGGTTGTGCGACTTGAGTAGCACCTGAAACTCCAATGGCAAATGTGTCTCCAGGAAATGCAAGTCTTGAGTCTTGAGAAAAGGGTCACGTAAAGAACAACAACATGAGCCAAGACTGTTGAGTGGGGCTTGATGGGAGATAGAGCGCTTGTCCTGAGTCTCAATTAATGTTCGCACTTTGGCAGCACGTGCGGTGTGTGGGTGTTGCCAGGCATGAAAGGCAAGGGCAAGGGCAAGAATCCCAATCGTGGTAAGGGGCATACCCTTCCAAGAGTCTGCGACCAAGTGTGCTTTTTGATTTGGTCGGAATGCATAAGCTGCGCTCTTATGGGACGGAGTAGATTTGCCCTGCACCAGGAAAGAGTATCTGAGAATCCCATGATCGGAGAAGTCTTGGAGTGGAAGGGAAAGTGCCAAACTGAAGTATGCCAAATTCTTTCGCATTGCCACTGTTTCTTCGCATTGGAAGCATAAAAATCATATGTCACACCCCGAAAGCCCTTTGATCACAGTCAACCACCCAGGTATGGTTGGATCAAGCCCCAAGATCCGATTGAACACGAGAAGGCCGTCAGCTAGGGCAGCTAGAGATTTGGTTCTGACAGTGTGATAATGATATCTCAACCTACTAGCGATGGCCTCCAACCTACTAGCGATGGCCTTCAACCTCCTTCTTTGTGCTTCAAACCTTGGATGGACTGCTCCAAAAGCAGGCAAGCAGGCATGGTGGCAAACTCTTTGTGAGCCAGGCATTGTTTTTTAAAATTTTTTTTTCCATGTCTGCTGCTCTTAGCAGTTCTGTTTTCGAGATTCTGAGCTTTGATTTTCCAGTTTTGAACGTGCCAAATGCCAAAGTCTTTGAAAAGAATTTTAGTCTTGGCCTTAACTACTACCCCTTATCACAAACTAGGAATTCGTTTGGAAACGCAACAAAAGTGAGCTTTTCTTTCTTTCTTTCTTTCTTTTTTTGGCTTACTTTTTCATTTTCCATTCATTTCCAAAAAGCCTTAGATCTTGGCCCTTGGTACTTGCAAGCAATGCGAAATGCGAAGGGCGACCTGGTTGGTGTCACCGAGCTCTCGGCCGGGCGGCTGGTCCAATTTCACCTGTGTCTTGGTGAGTCAGAACACCTTTGTGATGCAGAACTCCGTTTTCTAATATCTGCTGAACGGACTGACTTGACTTTCTTTTTCCTGCAAAGAATGGTGTTCTGGTCTTCAGTCTCTTTATTAAGATTTCCAAGGGTCTGCAGGGCTTTTTGCAGTCACAAAAAGTTGCCGAGGTTCGAAGATTCCTCAGGCCTCGGGGCTGAGGAGGTCCTGCAAGCTTAAGGACGACCACGACGAATAAAGGGTCTCTTGACATGTCGTCCCCAAGCTTTGCTTGTCAAACACGTGCGTTCAGGATGTTTGCGGCTGCGTTCTGACGGCCCGGACGGTGAAATGCCAGGACGGCCATTCCGTGGCACGAGGCTGCCAGGGTGAGCTGTCTGCAAGTCACGATGCAAAAGCTGCCAAGGCTTTGCAGGCCTTCCTGACCCGCCTCTGAACCTTCCACCTCAAAGTGTTTCCAAACGCGCAGTTCTTGCCCGGGTGTCACATTGAGAAGCAGCTTTGCTTTGTGACAGAGGCTCAGCATAAAGGGGTACCATCAAAGTTTAAATTCACGAGCAAAAAGATAGGTAAAACATATTTACATGCTTGAATGTAGATTTTCGGATTATGCAAAACTACGCGGGCGGGCAGAATATTGTCTCACAAAAAGGTGCGTCGTGTATTTGCAGCTCCTCTTCATGCCACTAGACACTCAAGTGGACAGTTGGGAGATTGGCCAAGATCTAATTGACCTGAGGCGGATCCACCATCACCAGCACCAGGGGCAAAGGTTGTTCCTAAAACATCAAGGTGCCATTGGATGTTCGAACATATTGCTCTGGAAGCAGTTGCCAAGGGAGTTAAATTGGTCAGAGTATGCTGCAGTCACACTTGAATGGATGTTGACTCTCGCCCAGTGTCTCGGTGCCTCTTCTGACCCGTGCCTCAGCGGAGGACGGAGTGTAGAATCGCTGCCTGATGCTTTCTTTGGGCCGCCACAGGGCCAACCATGAAATGTATGAATGACATTTAGCACACTCAGAAAGTGCTTCACACAGAGTGAGGTTCTCAATAACCTCCTAAAAAGGGTCCTGATTGAAGGGGCCCTTACCTCGTTATTGTTTATCTCATAAATTATTGTTTGTCTTCAGGACAACATTGACAAGTGGGACGATGCAGAGGAGGTGCTGCAGCTGCTAAGGCGCTCCACCGTTTTGCTTCTGTTGCGCTAAGTCCAGGAGACCGACACCCCCATCTCTCGGCTTGGAGCTCTGAGCTCAGGTGTTGAAGTCACAGGAGCCGCAAGTATTCCGTTATCCCTAGAGTCTTGCAACGGTGCTGCAAGATGGATATTGGATTCTTGCATCAACTACCGAGTTATACAATTGGCATTTGGTCTTGGATTGAACTTCACTACTCACTACCCCCTACTAGTGTAGTAACTAGCACGCTTCGGCTTTTCTTTCTTTGTTTCTTTTCTTTTGAGTTTCCCTCAAAATCTACGATTCCAATCATCAAGCCTGAGCCCTATCCTTCGTCCGATCGGTAGTACTACCCCTTATATACTTGTTAGCTACTTAAACTTAGTACAGTCTGCCCCCCTCCCCACCCTACCCCCCACAAACAGACAAATAAACAAGCAAGCAAGCAAGCAAGCAAGCAAAGAAACACGCAAGTATATAAATGTAAAATATATCAGTACCATATATACAATTCTTCGCTTTGGGTCTTGGACTTCACTACTTCACTTTCACAGATGCCTTTTGCACAGGCTTCCAACGACTGGTGGGCTCAGGGTTGGCAGAAGGACGGTGATTTTGCAGTTTTGGCAAGTGAAGAAGAAGACGAAGACGAAGACAAAACCATAATGGGTCACAGAATGGTTCACAACAGCGTCGCAACACTGTTTGAAGGATGTCACAACACCTCCGAGAACGGAAGTACCAGGCAATGCTTGCAGTCGCTTCTTCTTAATGCACCATGAATTTGTGCTTTAAAGGACTCCAAAACTATCGCTTGCTCAGGCTGTTGGACAGCTCAAGTTTTTCGGCTGCATTAGCCGGCGCAATCTTGCGCATCATGCATCATGTTAAATTTGTTTGGTATATTTTAGGCAGCAAAACATTGAAAGATCAGGGCGTCCACCATAGGCGGTTCTGCATATTGCAGCTAATCCTCAAGCAACATCAACCTCAGTTGATGTTAACCATTGTACAAGCAGGTATTACGGTGAGTCAAGCCTGCGGGGAATCATGAGGATGAACATGCTTTCATTTTAGATGATGCTGTTGATCCCTTTGTCGCCATCAAGCATCACAGACATCGCACACATTGTCGGTGATCCCTAGAAAAGGGACTTGCAGGAACCCAGACACTCTTTAGTGAATCGCCAGGTACCGATTCTTGACTTGGACGCATGTCTTCAGGCTGGGGAGTCACCCAAGGTCTACTTGTGACAGGCAAGTCATTCCAAACATTGTCCCATAGGTAAAAGGTTACCTGAGACTGTGGCCAGTGGCTGTCTTTGCCAGCCCCTCACTAACTCGGTCCTGGTTGGTTTGCACATCGCTTCGCCAGGCACCAACGGCTGGAGGCGAGTTCAGGGGAAATTCCGATCTAGGACAAGAAGCTACTAGGTGGAGGCCATCGCTACTAGTAACAAGAAGCTACTAGTAGCAAGGGAATGGTAAGAGTTTCTCATGTGAAGAAAGGAATGAGGACGAATGAATGTGAGTACAAACTGACCGAAAGTCCCATGTCCGTTAGGGAACCAGCTGCTTGGCTTTTTTTGTTCCTGTCCGGGACCTGGCTGGGAGGAATCTCTCGTGAGCCGGGCTCAAGAGTAATCCTTTTCTGCCAGGACATGATGAGGATGAGGCACAGGATGATGGGCACTTGGAGAATCGAAGTGGGAAGTTCGATGACACCCAGTCTATCTACAGGAGGATCCTGTGAAGATATGATGGGCAGGTCACCCAGCGTTGTAATGAACCAAACAATAGTCCTGTGGCCGTAATTCTAGTCACGTAGTCCCTTCAGCCAAATGTGACTATTTAATCTATTGCTTACGAGGGAGACCTTCTGAATTCTCAACACGCTTATATATATATATATATACACATGAAACGATGCAAAACCCTGTGAGCAGACAAAGATGTGGGGTTCCAATTCTGTAGCCTTCGAACATGTTTGACATGTGGAGATGTTCGCTCTTGAAATACCATATCCACTGGTGAACTCGGGCCGTTTGGGATCTTGGCCGTTCTGAAACTCTGCTCAGCAATCGAAACCCGGGAACAGGTGCCAATGGAGATGCCGACAGAGGTGGCTTCACCCAAGGCTTCAGCCTTCTCAAAGCCACGGCTTGAGGCGCGAAGTGTGTGAAGCTCGGTAATGAGATCAGCAGAAATGTGGCAGACAAATCACCTGGCACCCTGCTGTTGGGGAGTTTGGTGTTTTGAGGCAAAACTGCGGCTTCCTCCATTGAACACACAGCATGCTAGTCATAGGCTTCATGAGGTAGTAGTTGGTAGCAGGTTCATGGCCAGGTAAGGTAGACAAGAAGTCCGCATTTCCGAACTCATGCTGTTTTCTATGTGATCCTTCAGCAGAGAGTGGAATCGTTCAAAGAAATGGATTGGGTTGGGGCTCGACAATCCAACAGAAACGTAGGTCCAAAGGTTTGGAACTCAGTGGACGAAGAGCAATCAAGACCCGGGTGCACGATGACATGAGGCTAAACAAGTCGCACAGGGTGTTATAAAAGTGACTCGTACAGGCGCCTACAGCGGAGGTTGCCACAGCTGAAGGCAGGGGACTGGGTGACCTGACGGTGCGGAGCAGCATGACCTAATTGCGCTTGCTCCTAGTAGCGATGGTCTCCAGTTAACACATCTATGCGGCTTTCGTGGAGAATCGATAAGTGAAGATTTGTTCAAGAAAGGTATGTCTAGGATTTTTGGAATTTCCAGTGTCAGATATCCAGCATTAGGAGTACTAAAACTCAGCCACAGCCCGGTTGTAACTGCGGCTGACCATCAACAGCCGGTTACAGTCCATAAAGGCTTTTGAACCACCTGTCACTAGCTCCTGGTGGGGGTGAACCGCTCGATCACATACGGTCAGACCAAAAGCTGAACCGTTGGCTGCATCCATGCAGATGAACTCCAACCATCTTCTTCATGTTCTTCTCGGTGTATATAGCTGTAAACTCATACGGCCACAGGAAAGTGATCATAGGAGACAGACAATCTCTTTCAATGGCTGAATCTAAGTCTTTGCCTTACCACTGAATATCACTGGCACTCAAAGTTGCCTTTCCTCTTCCATTTCCTCTGTTCAGCGACTCTGAGCTTAGAATCCAACTCTCTCTCTCTCTCTTCTGTACATAGGTTTGGTTTCGGAATAGAAACTTGTCTGTGCAGGAAGCCAAACCAAACACTCCTGGAATCATAGCTCAACTGCATTTGAGGCAGAGAAAGCAATGGACGGTGTGTATCTCGGGGTGTGTTAGTGCATGGCATTATTTGCTGGAATCAGTTCGTGCTCCTCCAACTTTGACTTCCTGCATGATTCCTTCTGGCGCGTTGACTGAACATTGCTGTACAACCAAAATCATCAAAGCTGTAGCACCTTGAAACCGATTTTGGCTTTGGAGGATATCTTGGGTCAGCTCCAGGTGGATTTCTTCGGTCCTCAAACACCACGGTGGCACCTGAGACGGGCAATCTCTAAGAAGTCGACCTCCAAAAGGGAACTGCTCGTGGGAATTTGTTGAACTTCGTCATGTGAGGCACTGAAGTCGGAGCACCTGAGGGGCCTGAGGGGATGGTTGGACTGTGCGAGCTTCAAGTTATGAGGGTGATTGCTGCAGGGTTGGACCAGTATCGTTGAATCCACATGTATATATATATAATATTTCAGTCATCCAAAATTCCAAGATCAGTTGTGGCGAAGCACTTGCTTGCATGTAGTTTCACACACTGGTGAGTCTGTGGGTGAGGTAGCTTAGATGCAACATAAAGTGTGGGGTTGGCAGATCACCTGCAGTCTGTGGATTGGAAAGATTGACAGAGGAGATGTTCCTAGACCCTTGAGCCTTTTGCCTGACCATGTGCCAGGAAGCGGCCAATTTGATATCCTCTCAAAAGACTCACATTACATGGCCCCAAGTGACCAGTGCATACTGCAACAAGGGAATGGTGTGGACCAGCAAAAAGGACTACCATGCGACACTTCACCGCAGGGTGATTGTTCAAGATGATGCCCCTTTCGACTTGGTGCAGGGGCTATGTTCCTATCCCTTTCAAGTACCAATGGCCTCCCCCGCAGCAAGAAACTAGGTTTGTTGGAGCTCTACTTGTAGGCCTTTATTGGATGTTCGCACTCTGCGGCACAAGTGCGAAGGCATTGGCTTGGAAGGCTTTTTGAAGCTGGGTACAATCGGAGATCTGACTGAACAACAGAGTCCAGCGACCCCTTAAAAATAGAAACAAAT